CATATCTGAGAACAAGAATTCTCTACTCAGCCGTTCATTTAGCGGTGGTTGATTCCATAATTATATAACCAATAATGTTGAATGATATGCAAAGCTTGAAGCAGAACAGGTGCCTCGCTAGTGCAATTGTTTGACACGCGTTCCCAAAATTTCTTGCACATTTCGACACCTCTGTTAATAGAACTATCAGCTATCTAGAGATAACAATTATTCAACAGTATAACACCATCACGATCCATTTTCTTGCAGCCATTTTCCTTACAAAGATTTGATAACTTCGACTCAGGAAAAATGAGCCTGTCAAGCATACTGTCGAAATATTGAGCTTCTTCTTTTGAAATAACCCTGAGCGAAACGCGGATAATAAAAGCCGGCACATAATCAAACCAGTAGCAAATAAAGAGTGAGAAAAGTATGTTTAACCAACTGACATCCGCTGGCCCAAACCGGGCGTATACGCCAGCGGGAGAACAATTCCACTCCTGCTCCGATTAGTCGCCGAGTACAGTATAGTAATAAGATCTCACGCTAATCAGCCCAAAGCTTGGCTACGAATCCTGTAACGAAAAATGCTGCAGTCGGCGTCTTATCGAGGCAGAGGAGGTGTAGTCGTTCCCACACGCTGGCAAACGTGCCCATTTTGAGTCCGCGGAAGTCATCCGGTTAAACAAATTTTTTCATTCTTTATTTGTTATTGACTTGATTATGTGTGCGTATTTTTTTTCCATTTTTGTTCTATGTGATATCGAAAGAAACCCCGTATCTTGACAAAAGTCTGATACCATCGAACACTGGATACAAGTAGTTTTGAAAAAATCTGTCAGTTCTCGGTGGACTCAGGTGCCGGAACCGAGGTTGGTTAGCTACATTTGATTCTTCAACCAGAAATCTTCCACATCTTCGTCTTTTTTCAGTCTAACGGAGTTCTGCTAATATTTCACTCATGTGATCTAACGACCGTAGTGGAACTTGTGGTCCCATCAATTTATTTTCTTCGGGACCGTCGAACCCCTTCTTCTGCGCCTATAATTTCCAGCATAGCCACGCTGGAGGGCCTGCTCCATCTCGTCTGCGTCTCTGGCATCAGTGTGGTCACGATTGAATATACTGTTGTATTATTTCAATTGTATTGCTGTTATTCTTTTCCTACATTTATTGCTGTTATTCTTTTCCTACATTAAGTTATATGTAAATATACTACGCCGTCATGAGCAGGAAAACAACAACAATAATACAGTTGGAATAACATCATGACACATTCAAAACGTACCAACGCTAGGGGTTGAAGATGCAGGGAAGATGGAGCACAGCATTCTGCATTGCCACGTTAGAAGCTACAGACGCAGAGCAGGTGGGTGTACGGTCCCGAAAAGTATAAAGTATGGTTGGAGTGCAATAGCCCTGTTTGAAAAAACCTTTACAAAATAACGGGCGTGTGTTGTAGCTCAATGAAATTCAAGATTTCGAATAATTAAAAAAACATTGATAAAAAATTGTTGTCCAACAAAAGAAGCCACCTCCTAACCTCTTGCCGAATTGAAGGGACCGCAACTCTCCACTAACGTCGATTTTCTTCGAGAAGTTTTTAATCAGTTTATTAATGTTACTAGAATGGTTGAGCTAATCTGAAGGAGTTTCACAACTATTTTCACTCTAGTCACTCTCCTTAAGGAGTTTTTGATTAGTTCGTTGGTATGACTGAAGTGAATGGCTTTGCTGTGACGGAATGTTACTAATACTTTCACTTGTTTAGTCACATTTGAAAGCGCTTTTGAATAGTTCTTTGGTATAACTAAAGCAAGCGGTTGGCTTAGTTTGTAGATACTTACCATTTTCTTGACTTCTGTGAATAGATTGTGTAAGAAGTTCATGTCGTTTTAGTTTCAGTGTGATTTTACAGTGAAATTGCATGACTTTCGTGTCGATCAATCGTATATTTTCTTGTCGACATTTTGATGAGCAACTTATCTATAGCTGCTTTGAAATGGAGCTGTTTTGGGATCAAATTTACTTGCTACTCATGCACGAATGACGCGTAGGGAAATATGTTAGTGAAACGGCACGCAAGCTCAGTGGAGCTCCTGTGAGTCATCCGAGAGCGACTGAATCTCTAGAATGTTTACTCCTACTTTCAACTTCGCCAAAAACTTCTTAGCCGTCCTTTCTGCCACTGGTATCGTTGCCCGAAGTTCTGTTAATACTGCGGGCCTCTTCATCAGCATTTTGCTTCCGCGCCATTCGTGTTTGACTAGCAGGTGAATTTGTTCCCATCACAGCTCCATCTCAAATCTAATATAGGCGAGTTGAATACCAAAATGTTTGCTAGAAAAGGCGCTAATGAACGATCCAAAAACGTGCAATTTCATTGCATAAACCATATCAGGAATCCAAAAGGGCATGAACTTTCTACATAACCTGTTATAGCATATATCTTTCGTCCTCACAAATTTTCTGCATTTTCAGTTTTCTCTCACATTTGGCGAAACATATTAAAACACCCTTTGCTGTTTTACACTTTGATTTAAATTAGATGTTATATCTATAGCCTCTGTATTAATCGATTTAGACGAGAAGAGTTGAATTTTAGGACAAATATTTTTTACGTTTGATTGAAAAGGACGCCCCCGTATGCAGCGCGCCTTCTGTTTCATAGAGCGTTTCGTCCAAGCGGACCTCGATGAAGGAATGGTTTGTTGTTGTTGTTGCTGTTGTGGTTGCTGTTATTATTGACCCTTCTCTGTTAATGTCATTGTCACTGTTATGTGAAACATAATTCCGTAATATTATGAAATTTCTGAAGGTTAGTAGCGAGCTGTGGGCGGAAGGTGAGGGTCAACACATAGAGAAGCTTCTTCATAGCATAGTTCGAGGTACTCAAAGACTTCACTTTTATCTGGTATTCTACTAACATCCAATGCAGAGCTCTTCTGCTTTCCACGGAAGTTCTTTTGCGAGAAAATTGACGCTTAGAAGGAGTAAATGTTTTTGTTTACAACCAGAAAGAGGCACATAGCGTCGATTCATAGTAAAGTTCTGAAGAACAGATGCAGTTCAGCGCTAGTTAATGTCCATTGACTTGAAAGTATTCTATGTGGACATTCTTCCGGTCAATGTTTCATCTTATACCACACTACAATAAGTAATTAAGTATGATCGATGAGCATTCTTTTTATTTAATAGCCTTTTAGCGGGTGGTATGATGTTAGACATTCCCGATAATTTTTTTCTTTTTTTTCTTTTTTTTTCTTTCATTCTTTTTTTTGGAATCAGTTTTGAATGTTCATCACAAGGTTTTAAAAACAATCGTTCATATAGATTGTTTGGTCTACCAGCCGAAATCCATCGACTGAACAGTGGTGATGGAGCAGTGTCATTGTACATTAAGCCATCACCACATACGCCTCCCTCCTTGCTTCAATGCAGGGCTTAATGTGGGGCGGGGGTCACTTTTTGGATTTAATTCCCGATAATGTTTGGTGATGTGCCAAACTTTGGCGTGAGGTGGGACTCGAGATTAGATATTGATCGCGCGTGCGGATTCGATGTTAATTTGTGACATTTGACTCGCTTGTAATTGCCTGTGACCTTGCCAAGACATTTCAGCATTTGCGATTTGGCAGATGCATGTGCCCCGTTTCGAGATGTTTTGATAGAATGTCCTCTCCATATTAGGGAAAAATGAAAAGTACCGAGAAGGTTTCATGGCATCCACGTGCTCCACGTGAAGCCTATCCTCAAATGTTTGGCACAGTTCCTTTTGCGCGGACACAAGGTGGATTGATGCTATCATCGGTGCACTTCCAACACTATACTATGTGAAAACGAAGAGTGGTATTCAAGAAATTTGAACTCACGCAGTAGTCGAATCCACTTTCTAATAGGCTATGTAAAAACTTCGTGCCGTTTTGATTTTTTAATACAGTTTTTGCCATGAATTGCATAGCTTTGGTGTCGTTCATTTGCGCATTTTCCTCTGAATATTTTGGTATACAACTTGCTTATAGCTGCTTCAGAAAGGAGCTGTTGTGGGGGAAAATCCTCTTGCTACTCATGCACGAATGGCGCCTAGGAGATAATGTTAATGAAGTGGCGTGCAAAATTAATGGATCATAGGAGCGATGATACGTTAGCAAAAACGACGGCTAGGAATCGCAGTGTCTTGCAGGTTCAGAGCTGGAAAAAACAGTTTAGAGGATCAGTCGCGCTCGCGCCACCCACGCGAAGTTGATCGTTGAGCTGTCCTTGAGATGGTCGAAGAAAATGCCTCAGTGATACATCAAATATTAGCCGACGAGTTCGATTGTTGCTTTAAGACCATCACCAACACTCTCCATGAACTGAGTAGGATTTGGAAGAAGTCAAAGTGGGTGTCATATGATTTGATGGAAAGCAGGAAGTCATCCTTCCTGCAACTGTATCATCGCCTCAAGCTCCATTCATGTTACGCGCCGCTTAAATAGCATTGTCTCCTACGAGTCACTCGAGCATGAGTAGCAATTTGTTTTTAAGACAGCTCCATCTCAAAGCAAGTATAGGCAAATTGTATACCATAAATGTCCGCGAAAAAATGCGCAGTTGAACGATGCCAAAATCATGCCATTACATTGGAAATTACATTGAAAAACCTTAGCGGCACGAACTTCTTGTACAATCTGTAACCATACCGTGGGTTGCTGCCATTACACTACCCGATAAACTGTTCTACTACATTTTCTGACAGCTTTCATAGATTATGTTGACGAAAGGGTGATAGCAAAGCTTTGGCCTCGGTGATTTAGTGGTAGGACGAGGTATGAATGAAGCCGAGTTCGACTCCCGCTGTCTTCGAATGCCTTCCACATCAAACAGTACTTGCAGATGTATACTTATGACGTCATAACTTGTTAAGAATCGGTAAAATTGATTCTTTTACATTTTAAGATGACTTATGAAGTTCGCAAACCGGTTTAGAAACTTGGCAGCTGACGCGTTGTAGCGTAAAATGAGTGCTGTTCAAACGAGCGTTAGTGGTGCAGCGATTAGCATACGCTCATGGAGAGAGTGAAATCTGGGTTGGAATCCCGGCTCACGCAAGCGTTTTTGCACAGCACTCCACATTAAAGTACAAGAACATACCACTGCAACAAGCGGCCAAATAAATGAATTCCGATTGGTTTAGAAATTTTGACGAAAATGCGTGTACTCCAAGAATTTCTTTCCTTCTTGTATGTTTTGAATTTAGGTCTCTGTCTTTCTTTCTGAACATCATCGCAGCGCACCATGAACTGGATTGAGGCCAAAGGTTTTTCCCTGACTTCTAATGCTTCCTTGGTGATAATTAATGTTGGGGTGGACAACGCTGGGGCATTCAGTTTGCTCAAAAATCTGAAATTGCTTCGATTCATTGAGCCTGAAGACCTAAGAAATATGGCGAATACTATTGAAGAAGTGATTAATGAAGCAGGGAAACTTTTCTTTCACAATATTCCTCACAAACAAATCGCTATTGAAGTACCTTTCGAAATGTCAACTTAAACTGATCAAAATAATATTTTTCTAACCAGAAATTTCTTCTTTTTTTCTATTAGAAATATGGAACAAAAATAATGAATTCATTTTACAAGCCGATTCATATTTCAAAAAAGGTTTATGCACCCAAAACACTGGTTTAGGTCGATGCATCACTCCTGAGTTCGCCGGCCGGCCTGCAATGTTTTTCGGAGGGCATCTTCAAGTCAACTTGATACAGCTAGTAATGTTGCACCTACAACTCCGTAATAGTAGTGCTGTAACTAATGTTACACTTAAAAATTCCGTAGTCATTCTGATGAACTATGTTAGCTAGCCTGCCTTTGTTAAGATGCGAAAAGTTTAGGTTACATTAGTTTATTCAGCTAGCGTTTCGTCGCCCACAGCTTGATCAGAGCACGATTTTCATAAAAAAAAGCAAGAATGAAAAGCGTAAATAATGCAACAACGAACTTGGTTTCTCAGCAACAGGAGATGATTTCGAAATCATAATACATCAAGTGTTAGGACTTCATAGATAGATAAGAGACTTTTGATCCTCTCAGATATGACTCGTTTAAGGAATGAAACACGGCCGTAGTTGCAGATGGTGTGACCGAAATACAAAACGAAATGTGTTGAGGCTTGAGCTATAGCTGCGCTTAATATTTGTTCAGCATTAATCACATTTTGGGGACACTATCCACAAGAATAATTGGACTTTCAGAAAATTAACAAAACATTCTTCAACACAGCAGTGATGCTTGACAAAGTCACAGCTCATAAAGGCTTCTTACGCTGTGTTTTATGAAGTTTAATGCATATATCAAAGACTTATCTTTCTAGCCAATGTGAGGTCGGTAAGTGCACTTTTCCGATACTAGTGATAGCAGTACAGACCTACGTACAGGTGCGTCCAGGTTGTTAACAAGGGGGTGTCGTCGAAACGTTCGCCAATGTACTGCTATCACTACATTAGGGCAACCACAATTACTAACAATTGCCAGCTGAAAAGGTGAGTCTTTAGTATTTACATGTATTGACTATGATGCCGAGGTCAAAGGAAGTCGATTTTTTGAATCTGTTGGGTTGGAAGGAATGTTGTAGAGCACCTGTAAAAAATTGAAAAGTTTTGCATGAATTTCAAAAAGAGAACAATAATAACTATTCCTGAAAATAAACGTCGTTGTTATCTACGACTTCCTGCCATCGGTCCGCCAAGTTTCGAATGTGGTCGAAGTACCATTTCCCCTGACTTCGATTCAAAGACCTTGATATGATTCTTCTACTGAGCGAGTCCTGTCTTTGAGGCCAAGATCTTGGGCATTGAAGCGTTGAAACCAGGGTCCTGCGGCAGATTCGCTTGACGTACTGTGCCTTTCCTTTCAACTTCGTTGATTTCAACGACTGCAGCTCACTGAGGAAGAGTCTCTCTCCAGTAATGACGCAGTAAATTACGAAGTTCGATTGTGTCGTTGGACATGGTGGTGGCTTGTAACAAAGTAAAAAAAAAAAGACGAATAACATCAAAGTCTTTAGTGGGAAAATCTCACGTGAAAAACTGTAATATTTCCATGATAAATCACTTGTATTTGAGGCAACATGTCATGTATCTGATAAATGGGCTCTCCTATAGCCCGATACACGTGTTCAAAACTTAAAGTCTCGTCAGTCGGGAAGATCCCGTCGTCTTTCAATCTTTCTTTGAACAATTCTCTGTGGGTGCTCCAGTCTCCACATAAAGAGGTTTCGAAGACGAAAGTTTTCTACTGTAAATCAATGAAAATGTCACCTAACTTACAGTGCTGTACACTCGATTGCTCTCTGGCTGGTATTTTTATCACATTAAACCTTTGTTTCGAGTGTTTTACTGAGACCACGCTCAAATTTCAATTGATCTCTCCATTATTATTTTGAGCCAACATGTCACGTGGTGTGGCATATAGGCTCTTGTACAAACCGATTCCCATGATATATACTGGGAGAATAAGCAGCACTGACTCGGTTCAGCGGGAGGCCTCCGCGAGTCATTGTAAAGGCCGGATATGCATTCAATCACCTCAAACGAAGTTAAAAATTGAAATCGAATGCATGGCGCATCCCTCAGGGATTGATCAACGACGAGAGCTTTATCCTTTATCCTTATATATATATATAATATATATATATATATGTATATATATATATGTATATATATATATGTATATATATATACATATGGAAGTTTTCTTGTGCTTAATGAAGTGCTCCAGAACCTTCTTTCCAACCTACTATTGTACAGTTGTGACGTCTGGCGGTGAATGGTGATATTGAGCAAGTTGTGCTTCAAAATATGAGCTCTTCAGATGCCATGTCCTTATTGACTTTTACAGGCATCATATTCTTATTTTACAGTGAAATTGCTTAAGCATCCTGCTTTCACTAGAGCGTCGGAAACGAATGGTGACGCCTATATTTTTTGGAGAAAGCCATCATACAATGGTGCTTATTTGTTCGCGATTTGAAAAAGGTCGTAGCTTCACCTGTATCAGGGTGATGGAAAAACAACGGTTGATTTGAGTGTTTTTCTAAGGGTCGTTTCGTTGTGAGTACTCTTCAATGAGATCATTACTATCCGCTGCATTGCATTATATCTTTTCCTCAACGTTTGATAACTTCTCAAATTGTTCATTTCGGCCATTCTTAGCTGATTGAGATGATACTTTTGTGTGTGGAAACTCCATCATTTTGCTTTCTGAATTCGACCTTCTACACCTAGGAATACTGGCGATTCAAAATATTATGAAAGCATCGGCCAGGAAAGAACTTCCTGGCCCAGAATGCAGTCATATTTTTTGACGTTTTGCAGGAGAGATATGAGTTTTCATAAAGAGAAAGATGTTGAGCCTCTATAAGTAGTTTACTCATCTTAACAGATATTCATAACTCTGTAACATCAAATTCCATTTTCTTATTCTCTGATTACGAAATGTTCTAATTTACTACTTGTTATTCCAATAATAGTCGAGCAATTCTTATCAATTGCCACAGTAGTTATTTTTCAGTCAATGATGTTCGATGTTTATGTGAACGAAGGCGGTATTTGGAGTCATATATCGCAGGACCTTCTTTGTATTTACGAATTTGATTCGAATCATAATACCGATGATGCTGGGAAACTGCAGCAACAAGTCCCATTCAAGGATCAAGCAGATCTAGTGATTATCATCGCAACTTTTGAAATAATTACAATTTATTTTTCTTTGTTGCCAAAACATTTCCGATCGTGGAGGCACTATAGTATCGATAGCCTTCTGGGAGGTTTACTACCACATATTTTGATTGATGTTTTAAAACAACTTATTGACGAAAATTGTCGCCCTCCAACTTATGCCTTTTTCTGACCCAATATATCCGTTTTTGAACAAAAAAAAAAGCCCGCGCGCGGGATTAAACACAAGAGGAGTAGTTGTCCAACTTCAATATTGCATAACTCTTGCTTTGATAGCAGCGTTTGGTGTCAAACACTAGAAGAGAGTTGAAATACGAGTAGTGTTGGAATATTAGTTGATTCGAACTTGCTACTATCTTATTTTGAAGATGACAACGTTTTCCACTGCACCATGAAGGCCCTCGCTCTGTCTTTCCCTCGGCCTTGTTTTAAGCGATTCTGTGGCTGTGAGCAGTCACCTACCGAGAGGGTTACACCACACTGCGCAAATAGTCAGATCTCTAGTTGAGCTGAATTTGTGGTTGAAGTCACAATACCTAACTAGATTTGTGGCTCAACTCTTTTTTTAACGGCTGACATCAGCTTTTCCACCACGCCGTAGTAACCGTCCCCGCTCTTCTGTGAACTGTCTCCTAACTTGGTGTAATAGAAAAGGGAAATTGTGTCATCAAAACCACTTCAAATCTAAAGTTTCGCTCGTATGTCAGCTAGTCTTTAGGTCGAACAAGGACTGATTTCTCGCTCACATAAAAATTGCGTCAAAAAGTGTTACTCAAATGTTGGCCAACCATGCCATGATAAAATTCGATGGCTCAATGTGAGCATGTGTTCTGCGTTGAAGGAACAGTGAAAGTAGCGTACAACCAGCACTGAAATTGCTTGGGTCATTAATGGAGTGTCAGCTACAGTACATTCAAAATCTGAGGTTCCCCATTCTAGAGAATATTTTCGAGAACCATCTTACAGGGTAATTGCCAATCAGTGTTAGCCTCTTTTTTCAGCTGACTTCGATACGTTACTAGTTACTTCTTATGTCGACGTGACATTCTGCTTAACACCATATGGTTAGTGTTGGCTTGAGATTGCTGTTTATGAAGGTTCGCTTTCATAGTTTGTAGTCTACCCTTGCGAGGCCTAGAAAGGCCAGCTTAGTAGAACCCTTAACACAACAGTCGAAGTGCTTCGCTGTAAACCGTGCATATCTACGTTTTCTAGAAGATTGAAGAGTTCAGTTCACCTTTATTTTTCATAGTTTTTCAATCGGACCATCGGGTCGGTGGTTCTCTGTGGCGCTTGATGTCCGGGGAATTCAATCGGTAACGACTCTCGTCCATCGGTTGCCGTTGGAGCGCATCACGTGTCTGGCCTACCTCA